ACCTTTGCAGGCTGGGCGGACAGATGCATAAACTGCCAGAAGCCTGCTTCTCCACGGGGACCGTCTGCTCGCCCGCCCCCCTCCCCCTCCCATCACTTCCCAGAACTGTCCAGGGCCAAGTGTGAATGAGACCCAGAGATCAAGGGAGCCGGATGATGTCACCCACTGAGGCCAGCTTTCCAGGACAGAGCAGGACGGAGAATGGATGTGGTCAGGCAAACGAGGAGTAACCCGCATAGCCTCACTCACTTACGTGGCGGAAACACAGGGGGCTTTTCTCCTTTTAGAACAAATCCCCTTCCAGTGCTGGATCTCCTTTTCATTCCCAAGTGACCTGTATTTAAGTTTCTAGAGACAGAATGCTCGCCACCTTCCATAACAGCTCTTTCTTTGAACAGCTGCGACTGCTAGAAAGTTCTTTATAAATCAGACAAATCTTCCTTCCTGGAACTTTCGCCTGCTGGTTTCATTCTGTTTCCTCAGGATGACAAAAAACACCCACATTTCAGATGTCTTCAGCACTCCGGTTCCTTCCTCTAGACACACGCTCCAGGCTAGTGTGACAATTCCCCCAGGCCACCCGATCACCCAGGTGTGATCTGTCCAGATGAAGCAGGACATTTATTTTCCTTCTTTAAGAAGTTCCTCATCAGGGGCGCCTGGGTGGTTCAGTCAGTTGAGCACCTGACTTCGGCTCAGGTCACGATCTCACGGTTTGTGAGTTCCAGCCCCATTTGGGGCTCTGTGCTGACAGCTCAGAGCCTGGGGTCTGCTTCTGATTCTCTGTTTCCCTCGCTCTCTGCCCCTCCCCCACTCACCCTCTGTCTCTCTCACTCTCGAAAATAAACATTAAAATTGAAAAAAAAAAAAGTGAAGTTAAAACAGCAAGAACAAACATTTGGAAATATGCACCAAATCCAATCAAGGCTCATCATTTGTCTTTTCATTTCTAATGAATTCCAACTCGCTTTAGACTGACATTGATAAATGCCATTAGATATCAACTACTTTTTAGACAAAAATATCAACTTTTCTGCCCTGATTTGTGTGAAAACCTCAAGAAGTCTGGTGAAAATAAACGTTTTGTCCGTGGAATCAAAACGCAAAGCTAAATACATCTTTAAGAGACCCGTAAATCCCTGTGTAAGGTATAAGGCGGGTATCCAGATTCCAAACCTGACCAAAACCAAATACATCCTGTACTTCATTTTCTTGTTTCAGATTTAGAAAAGAAGATCCAAGATTTGAATCTGAGTAGACAAGAAAAAGCTGACCAACTGAAAGAGTTGGAAGATCAAGTTGTTGCCATTAAAAATGAGATTGTTGAGCGAGAAAATAAATATGCCGCTTGCTACAGTTAGGCAGAGGGGACGTACGAAGTCACCTGTGCCTTCTTTTCTGGCTTCTGACAAGTAAACCTGAGGAGCTGTGCTGAACGTGGGAAACAGAAATGGTCAGTCCTGCCTGCCTCCCCGTCCCGAGCCCGGTCCTTGCCAGAGATCTGAGCTGGGCCCAGGCAATGCTGTTCCACGTGGAATAGAAAGGGGGAAGCAGAGAAATCGCCTCTGGCTTGAGAAACCTTTCCTCTTGCCTTCCTTTCTCTTTCATAACCTAAAAATAATTTGTTACATATGGCAAGCACAAATCTAAATAAGTATTCTATTTACTAATCATCATTTCAGTCAAGCGAAACTAAATGTGAAATGACTTGCTAGGGGCTGGGGGACAAGGGGAAAAGTGTTACTAATCAGTGGGCATAAAGTTCCAGTGAAGCAAGATGAATACGTTCTAGAGTTCTGCCTTACATTACACGTAAGTCAAGGATAACGTATTGCACACTTAAAAGTGTGTTAAGAAGGTAGATCTCAGGGTGCCTGCGTGGCTCAGTCGGTTGGGCATCCAACTCTTGATTTCAGCTCAGGTCATGATCTCATGGTTTGTGAGATCCAGTCGCACGTCAGGCTACCCATTAGCAGTGTGGAGCCTGCTTGAGATTCTCTCTCTCCCTCTCCCTCTCTGCTTCTTCTCTGCTTGTGCTCTCTCTCTCACTCTCAAAATAAATAAATAAACTTAAAAAAAAAGAAGGTAGATCTCATATTAAATGTTCTTACCACAACAAAGTAAAATAAATTTAAGCAAATGAAGTTAAAATAAGTCAATGTCTCTAACACTAGAATGGAATAAATCTGGATGGCATGTGCTAGCTTGTCTTGTATTTGATTTTTATTTGGATTTGCGCTATGTATGAAACTATCACTCTATCGTGAGTAAAATGCATAGAATTCAAAATGTAATTAAAAAAATTTTTTTTTACAATTATTTATTTTTGAGAGAGAGAGACAGAGCACAAGCAGGGGAGGGACAGGGAGAGAAGGAGACATAGAATCCAAAGCAGGCTCCAGGCTCTGAGCTGTCAGCACAGAGCCCGAAGCAGGGCTCGAACCCATGAACCGTGAGATCATGACCTGAGCCGAAGTCAGATGCTTAACCGACCGAGCCACCCGGGCGCCCCCAAAATGTAATTTTTATACCCGCTTCCCTATATATCCATTCTCTCAACCAAAGAATTCCGCCCTCCCCAAATGGCACTGGAACAATATTCAAAAAAGATAAATATTGAACTACTTTTCATAATTTGTCTGCAAGCATTTTTGCTGCAAAATCTGATTTTTGAAAGAGTAGCAAGCCTGCTGTTATTGTTTGGTATGAAAGATCAGGTTGTCTCATTTCCAATTAGGTCTATGAGTCCACATTAACTTGTTTTGCATGTCTGCTATATAACAGAGCACAGTGCTTCTATTTGTGAAAGTTGTCCTTCAGCAGAGTTATTTTAAGGGAATCTAGCCCCTCATTTTTGCATAACAAATAATGGACACTGACACTGCCGTATGAAAGAGGAAAGCAGCTGGAACCATGTCCCTTAAAAACTGACTCATAAAAACTGGATTTAAACATTTAACGAAGGGGGCTTTAGGATTACATAGAATTATGACATTTCTTAAAACATAGATTATTTAGGAAAATTGCAGTTTCCCTGGAGATCCTGAAGAATGGAATGACATTTTTCTACCGGAAAGAGCCCCCAGAAATCTCTCTTGAAACATGATTGTAATGTTCTTACACTTTTGGAAACTTCTACGAAAACAAATGACACACAGAGTTGAAAACTAGACTGTCACAATGTCTACGTTGTTTGCTCCAATGTACAGAGTGGAACACACTCCAGCTTTCCCACCAGGACACTGACTTCCACCTTTGAACGGGTGGTTGACTTTCCAAGCATGGGTATCTGTTTGCAACAGCAACATTCAACTGTTTTACCTTTTTAGTGGTTGGAGACTATGCAAGTACCAGCCAGAGAGGGTGGAAAGGGTTGAAGAGGAAGGAGTTTCTGTCTTCTGACCAGGAGGCTATTGAGGTCACCCCGGGGAAGCGAATTCCCCAGCGCTGAGGAAAGCACGGGAATCAAGTGCAAGGGCAAGATAAACCCACCATCTCTCCTCCAGGCCTCCGGGGATGAGGGATCCCGGTGGGAGGAGGTTAGGAAGTATGTGATGTATTTTGGAAAGACTGTAATCAAAAAGTGGTTATGCTTTCTAAACTTTGGTGTTTAATAAGCCTTGGTGATCTTAAAAAAATGGGCATATGCAAAAAATCTTCTTCCTGAGATAAATCATTTGTAACTTGTATCGTTTGCTGTATCGGTTGTTCAAGAAGTGACCCAGGCAAAGATTCGGTGAAACGGTATCTTTTATACGTTGCAGAGTCATCTGAAAATGTGTGGCAAGATCTACTGTAAGACTTAGTTGAACCTGCATATTAAGAAAATAATCTTGGGGCGCCTGGGTGGCTCAGTCGGTTAAGCGTCCGACTTCAGCTCAGGTCACGATCTCACGGTCCGTGAGTTCGAGCCCCGCGTCGGGCTCTGGGCTGATGGCCCAGAGCCTGGAGCCTGCTTCCGATTCTGTGTCTCCCTCTCTCTCTGCTCCTCCCCCGTTCATGCTCTGTCTCTCTCTGTCTCAAAAATAAATAAACATTAAAAAAAAAAAGAAAATAATCTTAAACAGAGGGGCAGAAAAGCTTTGTGAATAATTTGTTATAACACTCCTTATATTAAAAATGCGAAGAATCCAAATAACTAACAATAAAAGACCAATTAAATATTATGATTTTACCAGTCTGGTTCTTGGATGCAAACATTGAAAACTAACACGAGCTCATCATGCAGGAAACGGCTTTATTTAAACGTAATCTAACAGCACATAAAATGGGAGAAATGGCTGGAGAGACTGCAACCAAGGACAATTATGCCTCTGGGAACACATCTGAGATCACACTCCCGGAAATCCCGGTGAGGATGCTAATGCTGTCCCTACTGGACACTCTAACCATCTAGTTAATTCTCCACTGTCTTGCATCTTGCATCACTCTCTCATGACTCAACATCCCTGGGAACACTGTCCAGCCTGAGCCTCTTCATGTGCCCTGGCCACCAGAGAGAAGAGAGAATGTCCGCCTCCTTTAGCTTGGGTAGTAGGAGGGGGGTTTCGCCTCCACCAGTCTCTGGAATCTTCCAAGGTAGGAAGTATTTTGATGCCAAGCATCAAAAAATTATAAATTTCCATTATAATCTGACTCTTCCTAATATCATGATGCATTCTTCATCCCCCTTTTGATTCTAAAACCAAAACAAATGTTTCCAGGGGCACCTGGGTGGCTCAATCGGTTAAGCATCCAACTTCCGCTCAGGTCATGATCTCTTGGTTCATGAGTTCGAGCCCTGCGTCTGGCTCTGTGCTTACAGCTCGGAGCCTGGAGCCTGCTTCGGATTCTGTGTCTCCCTCTGTCTCTGCCCCTCCCTTGCTCTCTCTATCTCTCTCAAAACTAAACATTAAAAATTTTAAAAACACAGATTGAGATTGCAAACTTCGTCTCTGTGACTCCTCAAGAGGATGTATTAGGATTGATGGTTTTCTTCCCTTGCGACTCATTCCGCGTTCCCTCTGCCTTCAGCAAGCATCTCTTTGCCAGTTAGAGTGACCCAAACCTCCTTTCCTGAGGATTCTGTCTTTGAAGGTCCTTCAAGTACAGGGGTAGAGTGCTCTTACATTTTGCCCTTAGATGTGGCAGGACTGGATTGTGGAGATTGTAGTCACACGCCTCTAGGCTGCCACTGTGTAACAGCAGCCCTTTAAGAGTTGAGACCAAGTACCCCAATCCAAAGCATAATTCCCCCCTTTTTTAGCCTGTTTATCCTCTAGCATGAGGACCCAGAAATAGCTGGGTATTGGCGTGTTTTCCAATTGAATGGTGCAACTATTGTGTCTAGTAAGAACGTACTTCCTTAGAGACCAGAACCCAAAGTCAGGTATAGGAAGTAACATTTGGCCTGCGAGTCATTTGGATGTAACTGTGAACAGTGTCACACAGACTTTCACTCTCTGTTGGTTTTAGATCCATGTATACTGCATAGGAGAAGGCTCCATCAGCTTTCATGGAAGCAGGCATGGCTCTGTCTGGCATCCGCATGAATACATTTTCTTTTTTTTTTTTTAAGTTTATTTATTTATTTTGAGATGGGAGGCTGTGAGAGAGGGGGAGGGGCAGAGAGAGAGGAGAGAGAGAGAATCCCAAGCTGGGTCCGCACTGTCAGCACAGAGCCCGATGTGGGGCTCAAACTCACAAACCACGAGATCATGACCTGAGCCGAAGTTGGATGCTCAACTGACTGAGCCACCCCAACATGATATACATTTTCTTTGCTTTGGTTACAATTTTTCTGACCGTTTCCTAAACTTGAGTTGAGTGAACGCTACATCTACCCAGCACTGGGAAGTCTCTTGAGGTGTGTGAGGGACCAGTAGAGAGAAGTCTAGATGAATTCTGTGCATCTCAGAGCAGGGGTGGAGTGAAGGGCAGGAGACAGCCAAGACTGAGACCGAGAGTAGTGGCCGGGCTTATAGAGACTGGGACTGGCAAGACCCAATAACAGGGCAGCAGACAGGATCTAAGACTCTGAATGTGGAAGGGAGAGCAAGATGGTAGGTCACACACGGTGTGGGTCAGAGGTCAGAAACATTTGTAAATCAGCTAGTCTCAGCAAAAAATCATTACGGAATGGGAATGCAATCTGGTGCAACCACTCTGGAAAACAGTATGGAAGTTCCTCAAAAAACTAAAAACAGAACTACCCTATGACCCACCAATTCACTACTAGGCATTTATCCAAGGGATACAGGTGTGCTGTTTCGAAGGGACACATGCAACCCAATGTTTATAGCAGCACTATCAACAACAGCCAAAGTATGGAAAGAGCCCAAATGTCCATTGATGGATGAACGGATAAAGAAGATGTGGTATA